AGGCGTGCTTTACGCATGCGTAGTTGCGTTGTGCCAGGTCGAAAAAGGGAGGGGAAAGGGAGACAGGAGGTAGGGAGGGGGGAGGGGGAGGGGAGAGAAGCAGACATGCAAGGCAACACATGTCACCCCCATGAAAATTGTGTCCACACCACGATGCCACCCTCAATGCATCTGTTTAACAGTTGCACTACAGCCCGTGGGTTAGCCTCACAAAAAACGTCCACGCCTCCATGTCACCCTTAATGCATTTTTTAAACAATGTGACTACTTTTGTACAAATAGCGAATTGCAACACAGAAATGGGGAAACAGCAGAGGTACATTTAAAAGGACATTTAAATGCCAGCCAACGATGGATCAGTATTGTGTTGCAACGCAACATGGGGGGGGGACAAAAAAACCCCTCTCGTGCCAGGGCGAAAAGGGGGGGGCGGGAATGGAGGGGGGAGGGGGAGAGAGGCAGGGAGGGGAGGGGAAGAAGCAGAGGGGGGTTAGAGAGGGGGAGAAGAAACACCATTAGATTCGGGTCAATTGCCGATCTGGACCAACATGTGGGGAACTGATCAATTTCCGCAGATATTATCAGGGGGTGACACTGGGGCAAGTGATTGTGCGGAATCAGCCCTAGAGGACTGTATTATTTAAAGATCATTAACAATGAATTCTGCTAAGTCTCAGTTCATTTGATGACAAGTAGCCCTGATGATTTCAAATGGCCTGTTCTAAAATAATGGTTGGGTGTCATGACCTTCTGTGGGTTGCCACCTCCAGCTGCCACCACTCTGGACTTTGGGTCCCTTAAGAAGGCCCAGAGTACCCTCCGACGCCCATCCAAAATGCCCCTTTTTAAGCTGAGAACATAGGCGTGATGACCAGGCAGAGAACACTTAAACAAATGGTTTATTAACACAGTACTGGGGTAAGGAACACAAGACAAGGTGCTTTAAAATATATAACAGCAGGGCTCTAGTCGGGGGGGGGGAGCGCTCCGGTACGGCGCTCCGGGAAAGAACCTCTAGGGGGCGGGGCGGTCACGTGGTGAAGCTCCACCCCCTTATTCACCCCGCCCTCTGCTTCGAACCTCATTCCCTTGGAGAACGAGGACGAAGCAGGAGGGTAAGTAGCCGGGCCTTGCCTTCCCGGCCTTGCCTTCCTCCCACCCCGTTGATCTCTCTCCCGGCTGCGTGCAGCGGCCGGGAAGAGAGGTCAGGGCCCTTTTTTCCCTTCCCAGCGGAGCGCGAAGGTGCTCCGCTGGGGAGAAATCTCCCCCCCACCCCCCCCCACCCCGTAGATCTCTCTCCCGGCTGCGTGCAGCGGCCGGGAAGAGAGGTCAGGGCCCTTTTTTCCCTTCCCAGCGGAGCGCGAAGG